CAACATAGAACATAGCCTTTCCCCTATACATCCCGGTATGAACTGTAGAGAGAAAAGCCTCACTAAAAAAATCTGGTATCCAAGCTTATGGAAAAAGATATCCTGTACAACTGAAGAGTAAAAGACACTTATCAATGACACAGGTAGCATTTTCAATTGTAAGAAAAGGGCTAAACCTAAATGATATATGATGGAGACAGAGTGAGTCCTACAGCAAAAATTAAACTAAGGAGTGACCAGAATTTTGTCAAGAGAAACTAGGAGGACCAGATATAAAGAATAGAATAAAAATCTTTACAGTCCTAAACTTGCTTTCTCCAAAATATGCCCTACTGCACCCAATGGGCCTTACAGTGTGTTTAGAGGTGGTTGACAATTTAGTTCAAAAGGTAATACAAACAAGATTGGGATGGAAAGCATGGATGTAGTATAAAAGAGGTGTTTCAAAGTTAAGGATGAGTTCTAGAAGATAAGAGTTCATACAGATTAGCATTTACCATACTGTAAAGGGTCAAAGTGTGTGGATAAATAACAAGCCAGCTGTCTGCTGCACTTTACCATTAATGTTCCACAGGCCTCCTGTTACTATATCTACCGTATACAGATATAGCAATCTGAAGAAAATTAAAACTGCAGATGGATGTTTCATGATATGTTCTGGAGGAATAGGAACAACAGAAACAGTGCATCCTACTTACAGAATTTTCATTGTCACCTGTAGCTTAAGGTTCTGCCTTGGATAAAGATTAATCTGGTTCCCCTTACTAGTAAATTAAACCCCATGCTGCAAGCAGTGTTGACCTATATAATTACACTCACCTCTGCAGCAGGAGAGTTGGTCTTGCTACGACGATTTTCATCATGGAAGTAATCGGGGAGAGCTCGTCGACCCATTTTTGCTATCTATATAGAAAATAAAGAGTCCAAATGGTTCAGAAGTCCAGCAACAGAAATGTATATCAGGGTGGAGAAACTTTGGCTGTCCAGAATGTTAACTGAGGGTTCTGGAAGTGTAAGTCTCAAACATCTGATTGCCCAAAGGTTCCCCCAAATACACACACACACATAATGATAGAGAGAAAGAAGTGATGGTTAGACTATGGCCAACAATCTATGGACTAATTCATGAAGTGCAGTTCCTGAAGAAAATTCATAGAAGTGAATAATGAACCCAGCATTTTAAACATATTGTTGAACAGAGGCAGGCAGACTTAGCCTGATGGGATCTACTTTGCTTTTCACTATGATCATCATCATCATCATTTCATATCTGCCTCTCCCCATGGATTGAGGTGGGGAACAACAATAAATCAACAATTAACAACATCAATTAAAACACATTAATTCAAACATGCAGCAGTTTAAAAGGACAAATAAGACATACACATTTTAAAACAATCTACATTAAAATTCAACATCTTAATTCACAATTTAAAATTATCTGGGTATATCTGCCAGAAGAGATTGGTCTTTACTGCTGTTTTACATTAGGACAGTGTATTCAGCTGTTTAATCTCTTCTGGCAGGTCATTCCACAGTCTAGGAGCAGCTGAAGAAAAGATCCTCTGGCTGACAGTTACCAACCTAGTCCGACTCCTGGCTGATTAGATACCCCCAACTCAATATAAGTGCAAAACAGTGATTCAAGAAGGCTGACACAGAATTGCAAGACAGGTCAGTTTCACAGTTTTTCAGTATCATAACTGGAGCTTGCAAACAAATCCTCAAATATAAATCTATTCCTCTTATTATTATTATTATTATTAAACTTTATTTCTAGAGCGCTGTAATTATACACAGCGCTGTACAAAGTAAAAAGTTACAAATATAAAAAGCCTGCCCACGGCGTACACTCTAAGAAATAAAATAAAATAAATAAAATAAACAAAATTACCATATAGAGGAAAGAAAATTAAAAGATCAAATAACAACCAATAGTAGTTTGTTGTTCTCCGCCTCTCTCTTCCACCCGCTCTAGGCATTTTTAATTTCAACATGCTTCTTTAGAACAGAAAGGAGGTTTTGGAGTCACTGCCATCATTAAGTGTTTTCTGAAAGTCACCAATACATCTGCCAGTCACGATCTACCTTCTTTTCACTCCTGCTGTAGAGTTCAACAGGTCCTCAACTTCTGGGAATTGTGTAACCAGGAGGAAGAGGGGGAGAAAAAGATGCCTGATTCTGGGTGGGGAAAAACATTCTGTAGCAATCATGGCTATTAGTATCAGGAGCTACAAGGGAGGGACAGAAAAAGATACTAGAAGATAAAGGAGGATGAAAGATGGGAAAGTTCAGATTCAGCTGGTGAGTTGCATTTGACTTGGCCAGACACAAGTTCTACAAGGGGACAGCATGCTCTCTAGAACAGGGCTGGAGCACATTTGGTCTTCCATATGTTTTGGACTACAATTTCTAGGGGGCATTCACACTCCTTTTGTCCCGAGATGTGGATCGCCACGCTGATGCAGAATGGGTTTGCTGTTCCTGTTTTGTTTTGGGTTCACAAATCTCTTCGAATCATTGTAACCCCTTTGTTATTCACAAATGCCATTGTTTCAGGATAAAATGGAGCCGCCTCCATTCTCTTGAACAATACAGAGTGATCCAAATTGATTTGGAAGCTTATTCACACTGCCAAAGATGCAGATCGATGCAGATCTTTCAAGAAAACCTGGGGGGGGGGAACAATATCAAATATCCCGGGTAGTTTTTTTTGCCAGCCTCCCCTCAAAACGCATCAAGTGCATTCAGGATGTGTGTGAACAACAAGGATTCATTCAACCCATATTCATCCTGGATTATTTTTGTAGTGTGAATGGGGCCCCAGAGTCCCTTCCCATTCTGGAGTTTCTGGAAGCTGAAGTCTAAAACATCTGCAGAGCCAATGTCCACATCTGATCTAAACTGAGGGACACAAATCTTTCTGAAATAAGATTGTAATCCTAAACATGCAGAGATGCACTGCATCAGATTTTCTACGGCAAATGAAGGGTTCATCTACGCTGTAGAAATAACACCACTTTAACTGGCATGGTTTCATCCTACACAATCCTCAGATTTATAGTTTTGTGAGGCACCGCCACTCTTTAGCACAGAAGGTTAAAGACCTGGTAAAACTGCAAATCCCAGGAATCCATAGACTGGGGCTAGAAGAATATGTATACATAACAAGGGCCGCTGCAGTGATAATAGCTTCTGCTAATTCAGACTCTATCCACATTGCAGAAATAATCCCATCTGGCACCACTTGACTGCTATGGAACTGTAGTTTGAAGTGGCACCAGAGCTGTCAGAAAAGGCCTAAATGTCTCACAATACTTACACTTCCCAGAATCCCATAGCAATGAGCCATGACAGTTAAAGCAGTGTAAAACTGGATTATTTCTGCAGTGTGTTTTGGATGTTAGTAAAACTTTTGAGGGCTTTAACAACAACAGGTTTATTCTGATTATTTTAAATTGTGAATTTCAAATGTAGATTGTTTTAATATGTGTGCATCTTGTTCTTTGAAATGATGTGTGTTTTAACCAATGTCTTTTTAACTAACGTTTGTCTGTTGTTATTATTCCACACCTCAATCCGTAGAGAGAGGTGGCTAAGAATTATGATGATGATGATGATTATTATTATTTTCTTACCTGCCTGCTAATTGTTGTTGTTTCGTATCTCAATCTGTGGGGAAAGGCAGGAAATAAATAAATTTCATATCTGCCTCTCCTTATTATTGTTATTTCTTACCTGCCTCTATACACGAATCGAGGCGGAGAACAACAAACTACTATTATTATGATTATGATTGTTACAACTAACAGGCAGGTAAGAAATAATATTAATAATAATTATAAACTACTATTATGATTATGATTATTACAACTAACAGGCAGGTAAGAAATATTAATAATAAGAAATGATATTAATAATAATAATTCTTACCCACCTATTATTATTATTATTATTATTTCTTCTTACCCACCTCTCTACACAGATCAAGGCAGAGAACAACAACAACTAACAGGCAGGTAAGAAATAATAATAACAATAATAAGGAGAGGTTAGTAAGAATTATTATTATTATTATTTCTTACCTGCCTCTCTACACAGATCGAGGTGGGGAACAACAACTATTAACAGGAGGTAAGAAATAATAATAATAATAATTCTTACTCACCTCTCCTTCTTCTTCTTCTTCTTCTTATTATTATTATTATTATTTCTTACCCGACTCTCTACATGGATTGTGGAGAACAACTTACAGGCAAGTAAGAAATATTATTAATAATAATTCTTACCCACCTATTATTATTATTATTATTATTATTATTATTATTATTATTATTATTATTTCTTACTCGCCTCTCTACATGGATCAAGACAGAAAACAACAACAATTAACAGACAAACCTTAGTTTGTCTATTATTATAGACTACTATTATTATGATTATGAATATTACATTTTATTATTTTAATTATTAGTACAACAACAACAAAAACCTAAAACGCCCGTTCTTTCCCTCTCTCCTCTCACAGAGGAGTCCAGGGTTAAAGACAATGCTTCCCACAGAGCTCAGCCCAGTGCCCAAGAGCAGGCGCCATTTTGTGCGCCGAAAAAGGGAAAGAGAGAGCGACACCTGGGCTCTGAGGGAGCGCCCCCTCCCTCGCCTCCGCCGTCGCCATGGCAACCTCGTCCCGCCTTACCCCCTTACAGACTTCTTCGTCCAAATCCAAGTCGTCTTCCATCCTTTGGGCCGTGGCGCGCGCACAGAGGACGGAGGACGGCTCACTTCCGGGAGAAAGCCCCGCCCCTTTGAGCGTCCTTAGCAACCGCAGGCTTCCCATACTTTGGTCCTCCAGATGTTTTGGACTTCAGCTCCCAGAATGCCTGACTATTGACCCGACCGACTGGGCCTTCTGGGAGTTGAAGTCCAAAACACTGAGAGGACCAAAATTTGGAAATCCTTGCATTAAAGGGACCATAACCCGCAATACCACATAAACGGGAGCCAGCGTGGCGTAGTGGTTTGAGCGTTCGACTCTCACTCTGGAGGCCAGGTTCGAATCCCGGCTGGGACACGTGAACCCACTGGGTGACCTTGGGCAAGTCACACACTCTCAGCCTCAGAGGATAGCGAAAAGATGCAACCCCCCTCTTAATAAATTTGACAAGAAAGACTCGTGACAGGTTCGCCATAAGTCGGAATTCGGGAACGCCTTGAAGGCACACCAGCTAGGCTGCATCCGCACTGCAGAAATAACCCGGTTTGACACCACTTTAACTGCCATGGCTCGATACTGCGGAATTCTGAGATTTGTACTTTTGTGAGACATTTGTCTTCTCCGTCAGAGAGCTCTGGTGCCACAATGAACTACAATTCCCAGGATTCCCTAGCACTGAGCCAGGGGAGAAAGGGACTTTACCTCAGCAATGGTCGCCCTCTCGCTTGGAGAGTTGAAATAGATTGCCTCCTCCTCCCTGGACAGTCTTCTTTATTTATTTTAAAATTCTACACCAATCTTCGCCCACAAAGATGGCTACTGATTCAGTACAATGAATTCCTCAGCATCAGCCAGAGACTGTAAACAAAGGAGTTTGGAAAAGTTGCTCTTTTGGGCTCCCTGATATCCACAAGGAGGTACTACTTGGAGTTGTAATTTTAAAAAGCAACTTTTCCTTTCTCTCCCCCCCCCC